CTTCCGATCAATCCCCTGTACCACAGAACCACAAACTGGTTTGCCTCTGCAGATCAAGTCATCATCATTGCAAAAGTTTACATCACTGGAACTTTAAGTTGTCCAGCCAAATCCTTTGTTCCATCATGAAGAACCTAATCCGCATATTCTTATGGCAGTTTTTTCTCATACTTCCAGCATGAGTTCAGTTCCAAGCTCTGTCACAGACATTTTCTGTGATGTTACCCAAGTCATACCATCAACTTCCCCATATTTAACATAACAGTAGTAATAATAAGATATCTTATGCCTCATCCTTTTAAACAGTAAGTTCTTTTGGGCAAGAAATCTCGCTTAATTTGTATGTATAGTGTCTAACAGATGCGGGAGTCCTTTTCTTAGCTGAACTCTCTGGGCACTATTTATGATTGATGATGATGATAATATTGGTGCTTGCTCATCTGTTTTGAGTGAAATGATGTCCTTTCTAAATGCCATCTTCTGGATGTTAAATGGGAGGAATGCAAATTCTGTTCCAAAATTTCCCCTCTGGTATTAACACATCTTTATATTGTGTGTGTGTGTAATAATTGCTGTTGAGTTCCACATTTCACTGAGAGAGCCCTCAATGTAATATCCACATTCATGAAGACTTTCCAAAGTTGTAGTTTCAAGTTGTTGAAAGAAAAGACATCTCATAATTTTCTTTTTGGCTCAGTAAGCTGAACTAGCTGCATGTCCCTTGAAGCCTTTCTTTAAAGACTGTCCATGACCTTGACTGACACTTCCTCCCTCCTTGGTGAGGCAGAGCGGATTAACACTAACTTCAAACAGTATCCAAACTGCTCCTGCACCAGCAGACTCTGCTGAGGCTTCTTGTTTCTGATCCCTTTGAGAAACAAGTGCTAAGATAGTCGATTAGACTTGGGCAGTTCCTAAAAAGTTCAAGTTTTCTTTATAAAGAACTTCATCTTGCTCAGAGGCATCCGTACTATACAGGTAGTCGCATGGTCTGCTGCACAGCAATTAGATTACATTCAGTTTTCCCAAAATGCACAAACACACATACACACACACATGTGCACACATATTCAAAGCTGACCCGAGCAGGGTGTGGGGCCTGGGGCAATGCAGCCCATGGGGGACCCCGCCGCTGCCCCAATCCTGTGCAGCCTGGACCCGAAGAAGCTGCCATCGCCATCGGCAGCGTCGGTGGTGGGGTGTGGTAGCGTGCAGCTGGATGAGAAGCTGGTGGCAGCAGCAGAGAATTGCTGCGGCTGCTCTGCCTAGCTCCATGGGGCCCCCCAGAGCATGAGGCCTGTGGGACAGCTCTGCACACATTTGAATAATAATTTAGTCAATTATGTTGTGGTTTTGTTCGGGAGTGCCCACACGCGCGCGCGTATGCGTGTAGGCATTCCCAAACAAAACCACAACATAATATTCGAAATCATCAGAAAACCATGTGAAAAAACAGAACTTTTCTCCTGGAATCTGGCTTTCCCACTGATATAATGTGAGAGAGAGAATGTGTATAAAATAATAAAATAAATATGCATTACATAAATGCATAGATAGAAAAATGATGGGCCAGAACTTCATCTAGTTATTTGTCTCATTACATCTATCTCTAAAACTACATATGTAGCATGATTGCAATATAAGTCCCTTCTATTTGGTAGAGAACTTGTTTTATGTCTAATTTGCACCATAATTGAGGGTGGGGTTGATGGGAACTTTTGGTCCCCTAGTTAATACAGTACTGTGCCCTTTTGGCACTTGATTCTTAGATCTGTGGACTACTCAATCTGTTTTGAGTGTTTCTATAATGCTTCTAAGCACAAAGTGCTACAAGTTTCTTTTGGGCTTGTGCAAGTGGAAGTGAGACAGGGTGTCTGACCAAATGAAGTAAGGATTTTCCATTTTCCAATTAACCAAGCAATAACTCACATGAAATTGGAGTGCTGTAATGCAAATCAGTTTTGCATGGCAACTTGTTGCATTCCTAATGCTGCTGTGTTACACAGCAGGAAAGGCACATATGCCAGGAGAAAAGTTCTAATTACTTTTTCATGTGGTTTTCTGACGATTTAGAGTACTGTGCTGTGGTTTTGTTTTGGAATGCCTTTTAACACATCAACTTGGCAGCCTCCCTGAATACACACTTCCCCTTAGGGAATCTGCTGCTTACTCTTTCCAAGGTAAATCACATACGGTAATTTTTTTTGTGCATCTCAATGTGCTTCTATCTGGTTCATCTGTATTTTTTATACAAAACAGTTATTTTCAAATCGGTTTCTGTTTAAATAGCACTTGGCATTTCTTCCCTGGCAGTGCCACGAAAGCTCCCATACTGTGACTGGGCAATTATGAAAGAATTTGGCATTAGTGGTAATTTCTGCAGGACTTGGTGGCATCTTTCTACAAAAGTGATTCGTCCAATCCCCAACCACTTTGACTCTGGGAATTTTAAAGTTCATTCAAGGGAAATCTGGGCCTGGTATACAATTAATGTTCTTGCTCTTTTTCTCTTTGCAACAATTCACAAGAAAAGTCTTAAGAGACAAAATCCTGCCAGAACAGGCACTAATCCACTCTATATTAAATCAGCTACAGTCTGTTGAAATTATAACTATTCCAGGAAGATTATTTACTTTACAAAATATGAAAGAATAAAACAAACTTTTTCTTGCTGCATGTAAAGATTATAAAAACGCTTTTTAAGACAGAGTCCCCTTTTCTCCCTTGAAGTAAGAATTAAACTTCCACTCATACTAACCTGATAAGTACTGCCCAGATACCTGAGTATTTTAGGGAAAATGCACATTTAACATTGCACATGGTATGTGAACAAACTGGAACTTTTGAAAGCATCCTGTTAAATAATGGTGTCACTAGCATCCCTGAGCAGCAGCAAAGAGATAAGAACATAGTCAAGAGTGAAGGTTCCAATAGAAACTGCCCTGGTGAAGCAAGCCATGAACATGAAACCTCTACTATAAGCAAATACATCACCCACTCCAGTAAAATTAGAGTTTGCTCTTCCATATGTTGTATGGATTCATGAATTTTTTTTCTATTTTTTTCTTTTTAGATTTCTCTTCAAAATTTAGAAACTCCAGTCAAAGGTAAAATTGTTTTTAGATATTAATACAAATAAAAATTATCAGATTTGGTATCATGTCATTATGCATTTAGAATGAATGTTAATAAGATCCTGCATGGTATAGATATTACTTAATCACTTAATTGCTTTGAATTAAAAACAAAAGAAGAGGATGGATAAAAATATGAACAATGTAGAATGTCATCTTAGGTTCATTTTAGAGATAAAATATTGAGAACCAAGTCACTATTTTTGGCACCTTAGACAATATAATTATATGTAGTGGCATAGTGGAAAGCAAAGTAGATTATGGCCCATTTTAGAGATTGTCCCTTAATCTTCCTTCTTCTGGGGAAAAAGGAAAAATGAGACATTATGGTGAAGTTTGCAAGCTAAATTTTCTCTGACATTTCTACACAACTCCAATACACTCTGATGTTGATATGCTAGTAATATCATTTTAAGGGATCTAGGACATGGGTAATGGAGGCTGGCACATAACCATCTATTTTTAGACCTTCATCTGAAAGCAAACCAATTCAGTAGTGAATGGAAATGTTTACTATCTGATATCGTTTTCATGGCCTATGTAAAATTAACTAGTAATATTAATTTTCTGAAAGATGAATGTCTATGATACCAAAACAAAAAAACTGTTTGTCACACTTGTCTGAGAGGCCATGAACTGAATTGCAACAAAGAATATGCAAACTCTTTAAATGCAGAGATAGTTTTGATCAGGGATAAGATATGGTAGCAGGGCAATACCAAGGCAGCTTGTACTTCTGGTGCCTGTACTGAATCTATCCAAAGATAAACAGGATTTTAAATATCAGGCTGATCATTCCAGCACTTTTCAAAATTCAATAGCAGTACTTAAATACTATATATAGATGGCTCATATGTCTCCACCTGAAGGAAATGCTCCTGAGCATAGGGGAGAGGGAAACATTCCTGAGCACATGAGGAGACCATTCTTCCTCCCTCTTGGAAGCATTCATTGCTAAGCTTTCTAGGTATGGCAACACGTTGCTGCAGGTTACAGGAATCAATAAAGGCCTGTTCACTAGGGCTGTGCGACGCTTCAGGTGCTGATTCGATTCGGAGATTTGGCCCAATTAAAGGGAAGGGTCTGAATCGATTTGAAGCTCTCTGAATTGATTTGGAAAAGATTCAGAGAGATTCAGTGATTTGGGCAGTTCCCACTGGCTGCAGCAGGGAGCTGGACCCAGACTCCATGCTGGTAAATAGGGAGCAGGGGAGGGGGGACTGGAGGAGCAGGCTCTTTAAAAAAAAAAAAAAAAAAAAAATCCTCGAACCCCATGGCTGGGGGCGCGGCCTTGGGGGCT